CCCCATCCCTATGACTTCATTTTACTCTAATTACCTTCTAAAAGCCCTGTCTCCAAATATAGTCATATTGGAGGTTAGGGCTTCAACATATGAATGGGAACGGGGTAGGGGAGGTGGACACAATTCAATCTGTTGCATTACCTATCCTTGAAAAGTCACTAGTCTTCAAAAACAACTTTTTCTAGACGTCCAGACTGGAATTTTTATAAATAAAAATTTGTCTTGGATGAAGTAGAGTAAATGACGAATGCCCCATTCTGTCTCAATGTAGCATTGTTCTAAGGGGCTGAGACGGTCCCCCCAATATGTATATAAAGTCTAGTTTCATTGTACTGTTGTGGAAAGAGCATTAGTTTTATATCAACAGAACTGAATTGAATTACCAAATTCAAATTACTTATCTCTGAGTCTGTTTTATTTGTAAAACAGTGGTGACCTATTTTATAGAACTTCTGAGAGAATTAAATGAGACAAAGAATATAAAAAATCCTAGTGGGGCTGCAATAAATTGCCATTAACCTTAATTTACAAAGAAACAAAGATTACAAAGAAATACGTTCATTCTATTTAGAGTTAAAGCTTAGTTATTTATGATAAGTGGGCTCAGATGAACAATTTCTTTCCCTCTGTCTTTGGGCCATTTTGGCTCTCCATCCAAATTGAGTGCAGTCTACCTAACATGAGGAAATAAAAAGAAGTAAAGCAGTGTCATTGTTTTGGTTGCAGCCAGATGTTGGAGGGTCTAAGTTCATGACTTAGACTTCAAGTGGAAACAACCTTGAAGGAGCTGAAAGACACAAATGTCAGCCCTGAATGCCCTGCCTGCAGAACAGTCATGAGGAAGCCGGGACCCTCACAATGCCCCAGCTCCAGGGCAGTTCTTCCCTGTGCAGCTCAGGTCACGCTTGGCTCCTTCTTTCTTAGACAATGGCATACCAGGGGGTAGCCACCTGTGTATATTATATAAATGATTTAAGTCAAAACCATTTTTTTTGCCTATTTTTGAAGTCTAAGCATGTCCTACAAAATCCACACATATTCTCCCCATAATGAATGGATTAATAAACTAGGCTGTTCATATATTAAGAGGCAGCTTCATATCCTTTATATCATTTGGTTCTGAAAACAATCCTGCAAATACAGTTTATAAAAGGCAATATTGTTGCTAAGAGAGTAGATCTTAAAAGTTCTCATGACAAGAAAAAAAAACTGTAACTGTGTATGGTGATGAATGTTAACTAGACTCATTGCAGTAATCATTGCACAATATATACAAATATTGAATCATGTTTACACCTGAAACTATTATAATATTATGTGAATTATATCTCTTTTTTTACAGGCAATATTATTGTCTCCCCCTAAAACATATGGAAACTGAGGCTCAAAGATTAACTGAATCTCCAAGTATCAAAGATAATAAATGATAAAGATAGGACTGGAAATTAGGTCTTTCTGAATCAAAGTACCCCTACTTTCTACCTCTGCACAACACTAAAAATGATAATATTCTTACATGATATTTGCAGTTTTCAAAACACTCTCACATCCATTATCTCATTGGAGTCTTACAACAGCAGGCAAATGGCCGCACAGAAAGGGATATGAGACCCTGGGTCTGGATGAGGTGAAAGGTTAGAACTGCCAACCTCAAAGGGCTGTATTGGAAGATATAGAGTCAGGTTTGATATATAGCTATCGATCTGAGATGAAGTTAGAAGTTCCAGAGGAGGAAGACAGGCTATCAAGTTCTCTGAAGGTAGGGTAGGCCCCACAGACAGTTAGCTGAAGTACAAGACTGTTCTCTTTGTCGGTGCCAGAGCAGAGGAGAGCTAGATAGGCAAGCAGCTCCCTATTGGCCCATCACTCCTATGGGGACATATGGTGAAGGGCTGTCAGTCTAGAAAACTATTGTGCTGAACACTAAGGCTTCTGTTGCTCTTTGCACACCTGACTTAGCTTAGCACCTGGCACATATTTATTAAACTATAAGCTGATCTATTTCACAATAATACAATGAAGCTAGACCTTACATAAGTACTGGGGAGACTGTCTCAGCCCCTTAGAACAATACTGCATCGATCCCTGGTGGCAGACGAGTGCTAATGGGGAGAAGGTTCCCGTTGTTCTGCCAGCCTGGACTCCTTTCACTCTGGGGCACAGTCAGGCATGGACACAAGACTGATGATCACTGAGAACATCTAAGATGGGGTCAGGACAAGGCAGAGATGGACACTCAACAGATTGAGGGCAAGCTCATCGCTCCAGTTTTCTCCATCAGTCTACCATGACCACCCCTAAGGATACCCAGCCCTTCATGGAGGAAGAGAACTAACTGCACATTGATTAGTGGACCGATCGACTCCTGTGAAATTAAGATTCTTTATTCAAGACTTTTTTCTCACATATCTACAACAGATTTACTAATATCTTAAACTAGATTGTTGAGAAAATTAGACCCTAGCCAAAAAATGAGGTGGAAAAAAACAGTGTTTCCTGAAATGTTACAGACCCTGAGAACCCATGGATGTCTTTTTGTTTTTGCAAGGGTTTGTAACAACCCTTTAGTATAGTATAATCAACACACTGGAATTTTCTTACCTGCTTTCTCCTTGTCTTTCTGAGTAAAGTGCAGAGATTTCTTGGAATCAAAAGTTTCAGTAGGCACTTAACCCCAAGCATCTCCCAGATCATCACTTCTGCTATGGGCCGCCTTTATCTTTAATTCATCTTACTAATTCTTTTCTGTAACCCACTCCTTCACCTATCCAATAATCTTAGCAGTAAGTCTAAGAGGAATGAGAGGCTATACCCTAAGAACAATGGGCTAAATCATCACTTTACGAGATTTTACAAAATATCCAAGTCATAGCCAAGGTTATGGCTGACACTAGGCCTTCATGTAAAACAGAGGCTCTGAAAGCAGAGGATGAGCACAATCCTGAATGAAGGAGGAAGTGTTAAAAGATCTGTTTAAGGCATTCACCTCTCTAACCTTAGTTTCCTCAACTGAAAATTGTGATAATAATCTCAACCTTCTAACATGGTTTTTAGAGTTAAGCAAGAGAATCTTTCAAAGTGCCTTGAAATAGCACATAGCAGGCACTTAATAAAGTAAATTTTAATTTTTTAATTTAAAAAAAACATAGTATTGGACTTTGACCTCTGATACAATAACTGGGTCCACCTAATCTAAAGAGAAGCCCTTACTTAGAAACCAGCCTTTTATAACTCGGGCAATGGTAATAACATCCTAATTGGTCTCACTGGCTCTATAATGTCCCCTTTCAATGGCTTTGTTCTATTGTCCAAGTTCTCTTCTTACACCAGAGTATGTTGTTAACACATATAATTCAAAGCTCTCCATGCCCTGCCACAACCTACAGCAGTAGCCCCAACATCTCACTATACCTTCCTAGACACCATATGTTTGAAAATAACCAGGCTACTTGTGATTTCCCTAATGCACCATGGGCCTCCCCATTTCTATGTTACTGCTCAAGATGTTTCATCAATTTGTACTGCTTTGAAAACGTCTATCTGTACAACTACCACCGCTAAAGTTTCGTATACACCCACTCGTGGACTTCGCGTGAGATTCGCCTCCTCCCTTGTGGAGGTCTGTGGCTTAGTTTAGTTCAAGTTCCACAATTCTCTCCTGTCTCCTATTTCAGGTCTCAGCAGCTCTCCCTTGTACACAAGGCTCCCAGCTGTTCCCACCTTAATTGGGATGGGTCTGAGTGAAACATTCCTCAAAGATATCTTCCTCTCCTTGTTCTAATTCCACATCAATCTTCTCATTACGTATTTGGTTTCCTGGGTAACTTGATACCAGGAAATGGTGCCCCAGAGAAGGGATAAAAGTATTCCGATTAATGGAAAATATGAAGCTCCACTATAAATTAATATCTTTGTGTTGTGATAATATTATCTCAACTTTGTGAGTAATTTTTTATTAGTCTATCACCAAGAAACTGATCATCTTGAGGAAACTAATAAAGGCAAATGTTTAGATCAGCAAGGCCTTAAGGCTCAAAGCTTGGACTTTTGTCAGTTTAGTTGGCAGTTCTTCATTTGAGGACTATTATGGCCAACGAGCCCATTGCCACTGTCTCGCCACACTCTGATTTAAATCACTTCAATAACTAAATAATTTAAATAATTAAATAATTCCAATAGGGAATAGGAGTCATTTTTTCAAAAAACTGAAAAAAAAGAGATATTTAGGACTTCAGTGGGCTGACTCAATCAACTTCTAAGTTGAATAAGAATTGCTTCAATAAGTACAACATGAAATACTGGATTAAATTTTTAAAATTCTTTCTCTCAAATGTTTTCCAACCAGAAGATAAAAGAAAATTGGTCCAATGCTGATTTGTCTCAATGCTGACTTCCTTATAACAGCTGAAAATATCAAGAATAAAAATAAACCAACAGTGTTTATATTTACAAATAAAAGTACCCAGAGAAGAAATAGGTTATCATGTTATCATTATACCATCCATAATCTGATAGAAGGAATTATGAAACCAACTTTCCATTTTGCTTAAACAAGAGAAACAGACTCTGATCATTTGCTATTAACCTCAATTTTAAATGCACTGATTTTTCTTTTGCTATGTAAAACATTTTTCAAGCTCAGCTTTTTTAAAAAATGCGTTTAAATGCAAAAAGATTAATACAAACTGCTACAACTAATCAAATGTTTTATGTTACTATGGTATATTTAAACCCAATAAAAACAAGTTTCAAATTAGGATTCAAGGGAGAGTAGTTGGAAATATAAATGGAATTCTGTGAACATTAAGGATTTTAAATTATCAAAGGACTTTACCTAAAGATTATTTAATTTATAGATTTTGTATTTGATAGAGAGTAAATGTTTTAACAATTATTTGATAATTCTTTCCTTTTAGGAAAAAATAAATTTCTTTTTACAACCAAGGTATTATCTTATAATTAAGTAATTATAGTAATGACAACAATTTGGTATTTCACTTCTAAATTAATCCAAAATATCCTTTTGCTTTTTCATAAGCCACACAGCTGATGCCTACTGCAGGAAGCACTTTTATGATGTTTGGGGTGAAACCCCTGAAAAATCCCTTTTTTCCTTCTTTGTTATATATATCTTGAATGAGATGAATCATAGAAGTTGTTTCTTTTTGCTCCAGTGCTATAAATTGAAAAAAATTGGTATAATTCAATATTTAATCTTTATATCTTAAGAAAGTCCAGTGATTAATGAGAATTTACAAATGTTGAAATCACTTCAGAGTACACCTTTCTCCCTACATATAAAATAGTCCTGTGCAGCAGTCAGTAGACACATGTGGTTATTTAAATTGATTAAAATTGAATAAAACTGGAGGAGGGAGGTTGTCACTTTGAGGGGTAAAAAGTATAACTATTTCACTGTGTTGTACACCTGAAACTAATTTTAAAAAAATTTTTTAATAAAAAAATAAATTTATTAATTAAATTAAATTAAATTAAACTACAAATTCAGTTGTACTAGTGCAGCAACACCTCAAGTGCCCAACAGCCACATGTGACTAGTGGCTGCCATACAGGACAGCACAGATATCAAATCTTTCCATCATTGCAGAAAGTTCTATTGGACCATACTTGAAAGTCTTTAATAAGGAACCACAACGGAGCAGTGGGAACTGGGTATGACATAAATATTATAGTTTGACAGAGTGATGGATGGCTGATGGGATGAATAGAGAGAGTCCTCACCTGGATTGCAATATAAATTAAATCCAAAAATCTTCCCCAAAAGAAGAGGAAAAAGAATGTACAAGAATATCACTTACCACATGACCCCGTACATAGTTTACTTGGGAAGATAATAATAGGGTTTTGCAAGGTTTTTTTTCTTCTTGAAAAGCAAAAAATGCATGTGCTTAAAATCTAAATTCCTAACATTTCACTTGAGAGGAACAAAACAGATACCTTCCCTTCTATTTCATATCTCCTTGCTATGTGGATTGGAATACAAAACAACTGCGTCCAATTCCACAAATGTATTAAGTTCCTGATGCAGAATATAACAATGATAGCAGAACTAGGAAAAAATTACATGTTCATATTGAATAACTGTTGATTCAATGTGAAGAAAGCAAAATCTTTTCTATTGTTCTGCTGGTACTTCCTAATTGTAAACTCCTGAAAGAAGGAAATGTGGAGAGTTCCAAACAGAACTTTGTAGAAGCAATAAAATCTAAAATTCACCAAAGGCTCTACAATAAAACAAATTCAAGGTTATGCTTTTAGAATCAGAGGGTTAGCTTTTTATGTATCAATTGTACAGTTTTTCAGTTTTTGAAATCATTAACTTCTACTTATTTAAAACAGTTTCATTATTTTAAACTGTTTTTAATTTAGTTTTTATTACTACTTCATTAAAACGATTTTTGTTAACTTTTTAAACTTATTATGACTTCATTAAAAAAACTCACCTTGAGCCTGCATGCGTGTTCTAACAAGATTCAGAGGGAAGCTGGCTAGCTGACCGCTAGTGTGAGACAATGCACTACACCCCAGCAAAATCATTATCCCAGGGTTGACAGAGTTTCCTGCATAATGTTCTAGCCAATAATTCTTCAAAAGCTGGAAGACAAGAAAGCAATAAATATCCTTTAGCTACTATGGAAGTCTAAGTAGAATAAAGTTCATTGCTCATTCAATTTCAACAAACATTATTGAGTAGCTTTTTAAAAAAATTTTATTGGGAAACAGCCATGGTCATTGGTTACACATTGCTTTCATGCTACAGTGGCATCGCTGACTCTTTTAGGGAGGGCGCAGCTCACAGTGGCCCATGCGGGGATCAAACCAGCAACCTGGGAGTTATCAGCACCACACTCTAACCAACTGAGCTAACTGGCCACCCTTGTGTAGCTCCTTGATTCAAGAATTATAATGAGCATTTTCATAATGTTCTCTCTTTTAATCCCTACAGAAACTTGACAAGTGAATATTGTTGTCTCCATTTTAAATTTTTATATATGAGGCAACTCATTCCAAGAGACTGAGCTATCAGTTCACAAAGCTGATAAATGGGAGTCAAGCTTGGTTGTTTGATTTTAATAACCGTTCTTTCAGAATCTTTACAAAAGATTGTTCCTGTTCCTTGTACAGAGGGGGCTAACCCTGCTGTCCTATCAGGGACCGGGTGCACAGATGTTTTCAAATAAATGTATTCATACAACCTCAGAATGTTTTCATTTTCCTGTGTTTGTGTCTCTGTGTGTGTTCTGTTAATTTTATTTTATTTTGCTTGATTGTTTTGGTTTGTAATTATATTCAAATACCCAAGCAGATTTCTTGAGATTTTCAGAGGGATTAACAGAATATTGTAGAGAAGACTGCAGAGTTCACTGTGGGTTAACAAAACCATATTTTCTCAAGTTTAAAGAAATATTCATCTTTCTAAATTTGCTTTTCCTTGAAAGTAGCTAGAAGGAATTATTTACAAATAGTGGGTTTAAAATATCACTACTTGCTGTTACAACAGTTTATTTATTAAAAGATACAACTTTACCATTAAATACTGGGGCAATTACTATGAAATGTATAATTTGATGCTTTTGAAAAAAATCAATTTTAAAATGTCTTTACTCAGTGTACATTTATTATAGTCATGCAACCATAAAAAGAGAAATGTGTAGTGTCACTCTGGTGTGAAAGCAAAAGATACTGAACTGTAGAAATCAAAGAATGAAGGAGGGCTGGCTGAGTGGCCTAGTAGGTTAAGAGCTCACTCAAGAGTGTGAGCTCTGAGCAGCAGCAGTTTGAGTCCCAGCCTGAGCTGAGCTGCCAACAAGTGGCAGGTTGGCTCAGCTAAAAAAAAAAAAAAGAATGGAGGGACACCAACATTAAACAGGAGCAATGAATTTATTTTAACAAGATCACAGAAGCAAGAAGACAAAAAGGAAAAAAACACATGCTATAATATTCAATACTTTAAACTTCTACCAAAAAAAGGAAGCATATTTTTTTAAGTGCTAAATGAAATCAGCTATCTTTCGCACAATGGTGGTACCACATGCCGAAAGTACCACCGCCCCTATGCTTAGAGAGCTGTCCTTCCTTTATTGAGAATGAATTTCAGCTAAACTAGTCACATACTCTCACCTGGTTCTTATGACCAAATGGTATACGTTGTTAAGAAGCTCTATATGAAACAGCTGTATGGTCATAAAAATCAAATGATTGGCTGAAAGGGGAGTAACTTAGAATCCTGCCTGCTCAGCACTACATACTATTAGGGTATCTGCCCTATCTTCATGCTACCTCTGCCCCAAACCCCCAATAACTCCTCAATTCTCATTTTCACAACTGTGCATCAGATCCTTTTAGGGAGTTAAAAAACCTGTCCCAGAATAATTAAATCAGAATATCTTGGAATGAAGCCAAAGAATCTTATTTTTTAACAATACACATACAGGTAATTCTCATATGCATCCAGAGTTGAGAATCACTATTTTATCAGCATTTTTGTCTATAATTATTATTACCAAAAACTAATTCGCACATACACCCCCAAAAACCATTAATTATTAGAACAAAAATAACAAAAATTATTAGAATACCAGACAATTAACATATAAACAAAAAGCCAAATAAAACCATTCAATTCACTTCTTGGTCAGAAGCTAGTTCATGAAAAGTCACTTATAACAAGATTTTTAGAATAAAAAACTATTATTGTAACAGAATTGGAACAAAATAACAAAAACATAACAAGATTTTTAGAATAAAAACTATTATGTAACAAAATTGGAACAAATGTTCCAATCTAACACATAATGTCATATTATGAGAATAAACTCACCCGCTCACCTCATAAACAGCAAGATCTGTGCCCGCATAAGGTATAATGCCTAGAATGTTAGGGATATAACCTTTGAAAAAGGCTCTGACACCTTCTTGTTTCAGAAGCTTCTTGCCACAATCAATAATCCCCAAATACTGTCCAGTTTTACCTAGAGCTAGTCTGGTCTTTATTACCTAAAAGGTGAAAGAATGTAGTAAAAATATATTGATCAGATTCACTCAACTCATCTAGCAATTCAGTAAATTTTAATATATCACAATGTTTCCTAATTACCATAGAAATCAAAAAAGAAAGCAATAACACATAATTTTAACTTTTCACTAATTGTTTCTTAATTATGAACAATTGATACAGTATGGAGCTTTTTTACACATGATTTAAAGAGGAGAATAAATTAATCATGTGGCTCTGATTGATACATCCACTCAAACTCCTTTTATGGGCTGTAAGGCAACATATTCTGAAACAAATTCATGTGAGATAACATTATTGCTTCAAAATAAAGGAACTACAGCCAATATCCACGTTTAAGAAAAGCATATGGTCATGTTAAAGTGAAGAGCCAATATGGAAACAAATGCTCTGTGTGCTTAAATACATGCTCTGGGAACTAACAGTGAGGCCTGTGAACTGTATTTAATAGGACTTGGGCTCATTTTGTGCTCATAAAACAGTAACATAACAGGGGCTATGAGGGCCATCGTGGGCTCCAGGGGCTGTCTGTAATCAATATGCCTATGCTCAATGTGATTCTTCTGATGGAACCTCACTCCTTGTCCTCTTATTTTCCATTAATTTAATTTAAAGGAGCTCTACATAGTATACTTGGAGAAATGACACTTCAAAACAGCTCAGATTAAAAAAAAAGTATAAACTTTGTTTTGATGGGGCAAACTGTGTGTCTTGATGGAAGTGCCTCTGAGTAGTCAGTTCCATGTTTGAACTTATCTGCAGGACCCCACACTTTGGATAATCCCATTCTTAAAATGTGGCCCTCTCCAGGGCAATGCACTCTCTTCTTACCCAAGTATGTCTTTTCTGTGTGCTTCACTAGAATGTTTTCTTTCCTCTTATTCCCTAAATTAAGGTCTTCTCAAAAGTTTTTTTCTAAGCATTTAAAAAAAAAACAAACCAGCTTTTTTATTTTCTAACAATTTCATGGTTTTAACTAACACTTCTTTGCAGATGACACATCAAGACTTGAAATGATCTCTCTCAAGTCTCGGTGTCATATTTGCAACTGCGTGCTGAAAATCATAACTTGATTGTCCACCAACAACTCGATTTAAATATATATGCAAACCTGGGCCAGCCGAGTGGCTCAGTTGGTTAAGAGCTCACTCAAGAGTGTGAGCTCTGAGCAACAGCTGTTCAAGTCCCGGCCTGAGCAGAGTTGCTGCTGAGCTGCCAACAGGTGGCAGGATGGCTCAGCTAAAAAATAAATAAATAAATAAATAAATAAATAAATAAATAAATATATATGCAAACCTGAACTCATCATCCCTCAGAGCCTGGCTCACTTCCTCCAGTCTCTACCTCTGTTACAGACACAGAACCCAGACAGAATCCACCTTCTTCCTTTCTCCTTCTCCTGCTTTCTACTTCTCAAGTTGTCAGTTCTCAAGAGAGCTCTAACACGAGTAGATTTCCCCTAGTCAATATCATATTTCAAGCCCTTATTATCACCTGAATGATGGCAATATCTTATATCTAGTTATCTCATTTCTCTAGTCTCTTCTCTAAAAAACTTTACCAAGATTATATTTCAGGGTCTAAGGTCTTTAATGGCTTCTTATTTTTTAAGAAATTAGTATTAAATTTCATAAGCTACATTCAAGAGCCTTTATGATCTGGCCTGAACCCATTATCTATGGTATTGTCCAGTCCAAATCTAAATACTTGCTCTTTTCCTTCCATTCCTTTGCTCAAGTCATTATTTCCACCTAAAATGCCCTTCCCCGTCATCTCTGAGCATCCAAATTCTAAGCCAAACTCACACATTCTATTCATATCTTTCATAAAATCCCTAATGAGAAATAATTTCTCCCCTCTGCATTTCCATAGCACTTCATATTGATCTCTCTTCCAGAATTTATATTTTCTATATTGGATCACTATTACTAATGTACATGTTTTATCTTACCTTCTAGACTATAAGCTCCATGACCAAAATGACTCATCAATGATGAGCCTATCTGACTCATCTCTGGATCTAGAAAAGTACCTTATACCTAGTGGGTGTGCAGTATAAATTTGATTTGATTAATGAATAAATCAATTAAACAATCAATGAATGAAATTATCTTCTTGGTACATCTACAGTACTACTTTTATCCTAAACAAAACAAAAAATCTACTAAGGCCAACTGATACTTGATATGAGATTTAATTCTTGTAGCTATAAAGCTGTTTATTGTATAAAATCTTGACCTGGGATTCATTTATTTTTTTAAAAGTTATAATTTGCATTAAAAGCATTACTTTAGTTAAAATTTTATAATAATACATACCTCCATGGGGTAAATACAGGTCTGGGCAGTTACACCAGCCAATGAACCAGATATAAATCTCTCAACAGTTCCTATTTTAGCGCCATCAAAACTAAGCCATTTCTTATACTGTATAAATAAAAGTATTAAAATGTATAATATTACTGAAATTGAATATATATTGTTTCTAAGTTTATAACATTAATTAGTAGCATAAAATGGTTTTTAAAAGTATCCCAGGCACCTGATATCTAGTAGAATACTTGATTTTAATTTTTATGCAATTGTCTAAGATAGTAAAACCGTTTTTCTTTTATTTCTGCAGAATAAGTTAGCAACATTAAATCACTTAAGCATATTCATGAACAGTCATGCAAATGATACAAAGGGGGCAAGGACTGTATCTTTTATGTCTTTTTAGCCCCACACCTAACACATGGAAGGTATTTAATATTGCTTGGGTACTGGATAATCAGAATAGTAACAATGTGAAAAGCTCTTTTTGTTACAAGAAACAACAGCTTACTCTGGGGTTAGCTCAAGAAACAGGGAGGTTATTGCAAAAACGCATGTGGAAATAAAAAAAACAGAAATATCAGCCCAAAGGTCAGGCTTCATAGGAACTAAAAAGTAAGTCAAGTTTCATGGAGATTGAAACTTGAAACTCATGTAGAATCCAAGATATCCTTAGAAAACAGATTATCTTGTCACCTCCTAGGTAAGATATTTTCTTGTTTGCCTTTCTCATTATCATTAATACGGACCAGCTACTTTCTATGAACTAACTTTCTGGTTCTCAAATCAGTGAGTCCCCATCCGAAAGTATCACTGGTTCAGACACAGCAATCTGTTCCCATTACCATCATCTTCCTTTTAGTAACAGAGCTGACTCAGCTACAAATTACATTTCCTTCTTCTCCTTTGCAGCTAGGCTGGGTGGCTAAGTGACTCATTTTGGCCAATGAGACATGAGGGGAAGTTGGGCAGGCAAATTCTGAGACATCTCCTTAGAGATGCTTGTCCTGGACTCCTGTTTCCTCCACCCTGGAAATGGCAAAGATGGGTGAACCTTTGAAGCTATGTATTGAAGATGGTGGAGCTGTACTGTTACCCCTGGACCACTTGCCAATATTTATTTAAGCTACTGTATTTTGGTATCTCTTTGTTACAACAGCTTAGAATGAGTCCTAACAAGTACAGAAATTGGTTACTAGATGTGAGGTGCTGTCATAACTAAAACATAAAATATTGGGCTGTCGGAAAAGTCATGATGCATTTTTGCAACAAAAACATAGAAAAAATACGTCATGACTTTTCCGACAACCCAATATGTGGCATTGGCTTTATTGTTAGGACACAGATATTACACTCTAAGGAGGTAATGATTGAAACTTGAAGCTCATTTAGAATTCAAGATAGCCTCAGAAAGCAGATTATATTTACTAAATAATGCTTGATGAAACTGCCTCCTGCGATAATTTGGAAGGTAGACCATGTTCTGAGGCTGAAGTTCTAGGAAAACTGATTGTAAGATCTCAGAATGCTGGTCAGTACAGCCCACTTGCTGCTTTCAGCAAGATCTATGAGACATGAGCTAAGGCTTTTCTCTGCTTTTCTGCCTCAGGACCTGCTCCAAAGCCAGTTTCCAAGCAAAGACGGAAGGAAATAGAGCTCTACTTCAGGAGCATTCTTTGTTGGCTTGACAGTCAAGAAAAGTGGGGTTTCCATGTTGGAAAAGCCACCTACTTCTGTACTCCAATAGAAAGAAATAAGATTGTCCTAAAGAGCTCGCCTATCTTCAGAACTCAGATAAGGGTGTTGTCATATGTTTTCAGCCTATTGTTTCAGTTGACATCAATGTAGCTGCTATGAAAATAAGAGATAGGGGAATGACTGAGCACAGGAGCTGGAAAATAAAATATCAGAAGAGAATTTTTTGGATGTGGTTTTTCACGTGGTATTGATTGGAAGCAAACAGACAAGAGTAAGAAGTTTGTGAAAGAATTGTATTACTAGAAAACCCATAATCATAGCCTACACAACCTTGTCCTTCATTGATCTCTAAAGCAACTCTCAGGCCCCCAAACGCAGCAGGAAGATAGCTGACCCTGGCAGACACTTCTAGAGCCCCACATCACGTCTGGAAAGTTCTGTGCAGAATCACACTGACAGAACCCCCTCTAAAACAAAAGCCTCTCATCTCTGCTTTTCTGCCTCACGGCCTTCTCTGAAGCTATGGGAGCCTGTCCAGCCCAGAAGTCTGAGGAAGTTAAAGTCTTAAGAGCAAGCCTCATGTAAAATGGGATAGAAACCGGTAAATAAATGCCTCAGCTCCCTTTCTTCAGACAGACCAGGGGTCGGCAAACTGCAGCTCGCGAGCCACATGCGGCTCTTTGGGAACGTTCTGTCTCAAAAATTTGCCGACCCCTGGAAGAGCCAACCCTGTCCCTCACAACAATTTAAAAATTATTTGAGAGCCATAAATATATTTTTACATAATCACCATTATGTGAATAATATCCTTTAAAAATTTTATAAATGAAACTATGATAGTTTTATTTTCATTTTCTATTTTATTTCAGAGCCACATGTACGTACCCAAAGAACCGCATGTGGCTCACGAGCCACAGTTTGCTGACCCCCGGTGGCTCAAAAGTTTGCCGACCCCTGAGACAGACAATTCTGGGGACTGTTCTGTACACTTCTTAGAAGTTCCAGCAGCATCAACCCTCTACTGCTTACAGTCGAAACCTCATTTATGTATCCTTACACTGACTTTTCTTCCTTCTGTGTCACTCTTCCTGCCTCCTCACTCTTGCTTCTTCCCAAATAAATGAGACTCTGTTTTTGGGGAATCCAAACTAAAACGGTTAGTACCACTTCAAAAGGGGTCCTACACACCAATTAAAAGACGAGATTGTCAGAGTAAACAAAAAACAAGACCCAGCTATATACTGTCTACAAAAAGCCTACTTTAAATATAAAGACACATATAGATTAAATGTAAATGAATGCTAACACTAATAAAAAAAAAAGCAGGAGTAGCTATATTTATTTCAGACAGAGCAGACTTCAAAGCAAGGAAAGTTATCAGGAATAAAGAAGGGCATTACATAATGATAAAGGGGTCAAGTCTCCAAGACAAACCAATCCTTAAAGTGTACACACCTTAGAATAGAGCATCAAACAACGTGAGCCAAAGACTGACAGAACTGAAAAGAGAAACAGGTGAACCCACTATCATAGTTGGAGACTTCAGCATCCCCTATTAGAAATGGGCAGATCTGGCGGGCAGAACGTCAGTAATGACATAACTAAATTCAACAACATCATTAATCAAGTGGATATAACTGACATCATAGACTACTTCATTCAACAGCAGAACACACACTCTTCTCAAGCTCACATGGAACATTCACCAAGATAGACCAATTCTGGGCCATGAGACACACCTTAACAAATTTAAAAGAACAGAAATCATACAAGGTCTGCTCTCAGACCACAGTGGAATTAAACCAGAAGTCTATAACAGAAAGATAGTTGGAAAATACCAAAATATGTAGAAATTAAAGAACACAGTTCTAAATAACACACAGGACAAAAAAAATCTCAAGAGAAATTTAAAAATAGTTTGAACTAAATGAAAATGAAACATAATTTATCGAAATCAGTGGTAGCAGCATTTAGAGGGAAATTTATAGCACTGAATGCATGTATTAGAAAAGAAGATCCAAAAATCAATAATCTAAGTTTCCTCCTTAGGAAACTAGAAAAAAAGACCAAATCCAACATAAGCAGAATAAAAGAAAGAATGAGAATTAGAGCAGAAATCAGTGAAAATAAAAATAGGAAATCAATAGAGAAAATCAACAAAATCAAAAGCTGGTTCTTTGAAACGTGGTCCTGGAAAGGCTTGTTGATGTTATTGGAACTGGATCAGTCACTTGGCAACACAGACCCCGTTGCTGGTGGTAAATGGGGTGACAATAACCTTTGGTCAATTACTATGGTTCTTAGTCATGGCAGCTTGGGCTGAGGTACTGGTAGGAAGGAAAGCATTACGTTATGCAGTTGCTCTAATACTTGAGCAGTATGGGGACAATTTTAAGGATTGTGGAGTTAGCTGGCTCTTATTCACTGCCTTAGAAACTTTGAAGAAAGAGAATGTCAAGGTTAGGTCAGCCAACTATCACCTTAAAGCATATTGTGAACACTATAAGGCCTTCATCAAGGCATTGAAAGACACCCTCATCTCCTGCAGCTGGTGAATAGACTGCTGAAACTCAGGCCCAGGATACAAATGTAAAGGTAACAGGAATATACAAATATAAAGGAAACTGAATGTGCAGCTTCCAAAGGTCTCCCGTGCTGAAGTGAGTACCCTCATTGGGAAGAAGTGGGACCCTGGTACATGGAATGAGGACATTTGGGTGTATGTGCCTGAGAAACCTGAACTCCCAAATTCTCCAGCACCCTCCAATTTGGCAAAAAGTAGTCCCCTTCCCACAAGCAGAGCAGCCTCTCCTTGTCCACAGGTCACGTGAAAGCCTCAAAGAGGCAGATGCCTATCAAGATATTTGTCCTCTTCATTATCTGCACACACCTCCTCTTATTGCTGCCCAACCAATAATTGTATAGGGTCAGGCCTCGGATAGCCCAGTGAAGAAATGCAGTCCACGTTCTAGGAATAAATAGCATTCTGACCAAATATTTGTATGACCTAGCTAACATGGACTGGAAGGAACCAGTGGAACATGTGTGGGAGTGGAGCATAAGCGTGTTGAACAGTGAGGCTATGGGGGTGGAATAGGGGAGACTTTATTAATGTGTGGCAATCTCCCACATGACACAGGACACCTGAAACCTTATATGCTGCTGTGGTGGTTCTTTAAAGCTTGGATATTTTATGGCTGACAACAAATGAAGTGGAGGTGTCAAAGTCTTGACAGTGTTGATGGTGGGTTCAGGAGATTCATGATGCTGGAAATGTTAGAACAAATTTTATCATGAGACTGGAGAACCTAGCAGTTGACTGTTTCTATGATAAGAGGAGAGTCCTTGTTGAAAGACCCAATGATGGCTGTTCTCGGGGTTGGCAGCAGGGGATGTTGCCATGAAACTAGGTTCACTAGTATCAATGGCAATAGAAATTCCAGAATAGCAGAGGCCAAGTGGTGGCACTTAACCATCAGATGCAAGATGAATATAATGATCTCAATAGACAAGTCCAGAGTTACAACCGAGGTATCCTGATCCACAGGGATAAGTTGATGGTTAGCTACCCATGCCTTCCTAGAGGCAACATAATGGGCTATCATCCAGCAGTACATAAACACAGACTAGGATATTGTTTGACTTGTATAATCAACAAAAAAAAAATTCACCTGGACCCTCTGCCACCAGCAATCTTATTTCAATTCCTCTATCCGCTTTCCCAAGCTCCTGGAATACTATAATATTTCATACCTTCACTGCTTTCCTCACACCTCCAGCGTGTCCTTGCTTTCTGTTTCACTAAAGAAATTGAAGCACTAGGAAGAGAACTTCCACAAACCTGCCTGCATCAGTGCCCACTTCATAGCGCTTCTCCTATGGATGAAGTGCCCAGCCAAGGCCAAACCCTCCCATGAGCACTAGTTCCCATCTTCTCTCACCCACTCAGAGCCTCGGGGAGAATCTCTTTGTACTACCTTCCTCTTTCCAGTCATCAATGGTCCTCTCTCTACTGGATCATCCCGCTAAACATACAAACACTCTGTCTTGATCCCACATCCCCCTCCAATTACTACTCTGTTTTCCTCTCCTCTTCATAGCAAAACTCCTTGAAAGAGTTGTTGACTCTTACTATCTCCAATTTCTATCTTCTGTTTCCTCCATAGCGATTACCACCATCTGGTATACCAGATATTTTACTTGTTTACTGTCTCCTCCAACCTATATGCTAATGTCAATTCCACAAAGGCAGGTACGCTTTTTTTCTTTTTGCTGTTTTGTTTGTTGCTATATCTCCAGCACCCAGAACAAGGTCCAGAACATTAGGTGCTCAAGAAACATTTGTTCATAAAAGAAATATTTGATGAATAAGGAAGCAAGTCCCCATTTAAGTAAGAGATGTACGTTTTTAAGATATGCTTTACAACTAAGTCTAGTATCCTATCCATCCTTCTACTTGCTTTTCAACTGTCTGAGTTGAGAAAGGATATTATTAATCTTTAATATATTCTTAAAATTGTGAGGTCTTCTGACTTTGTGAACCAAGGTTCTACAAAACAATGCAATGCTATATGCTATAAAAATGTTTAAAGAAAAAATAATTACTCTAAGATTTACAGTGAAAATGGAAAACTTGAAACACACAGAGAGCACTCTTGGACTCTTGTGTGATGCTGATAACTTATACTATTTGAAAATAAATACACCTTATCTCAAAGTGAATTATTTAAGCAAAACTAAAATCCTAAATCACATTAACAAACTTTAAATAAAACATTCTAATTGCTCAAAGAAAAACGAAATTGAAATGTTTGGGCTTCTTTCACATAACATTGAAACTAAAAGAACTACTAACAGACATCAGTTACGATAATATTGGGTTGTCGGAAAAGTCATAATGTGTTTTTTCTGTTTTTTGTTGCAAAAATGCATCATGACTTTTCTGACAACCCAATATAATATAATCCATGGAACATCCCTTATAAACAAAAATAATATGAAAACAGAAAAAAGAATCAAATGAGAATAAACAAAGTCACTTATATCTAAATTGACATCTATTGCTTGCCCGTAATCTAGTATTCTCTCATGAAAGCCTAAACTTTTTAAATTAAATTTAAAATCTGATCTTTGTTATAAAATTCCACAGACAATAGCACTTTACCTGTTCATAGGCCCCGATCTTGATGGCTGCCTCAGGTGCAATCTTAAAAACATTTGCACCATTTCCTCTCCAAAGAGAACGAATTCCTCCTTCTTTCACCATCTGCTCAAACCCACCAATTAATCTCATTCTTCTTGACTTTAAACTATGGACCTAAAAGTGAAAAGCAAATTCACTTATTTTGTTGGTAGTGTAGCATTGATACTATTATTGCTAATAAAATAATGAAATATACGTATAAATATATATGTAAATTTATGATCTTTAACACAATTTTAATTTTCCTTTAGAAACACACAAAATTGATATATTAAATTTTTTTGTTGTCCCCAAATACATACTTTAATTAATCTCATACAGCAAAGAAAAGAAGAATAACTTAAAGAAAACAGGAATAAATTAATTACCAGAGAATTTTTGCATATATAAGATGTGTTGTTGCTGCTAGAATATTTTAATTTAATTAAACAGTGCTCTGAAATATTCACTGAAAATAGAATGGATAAAAGTACATCAAACTTTCAATAGTGGATATTTCTGGGGAGTGAGGTGGTATGGGTTGACTTACGTCCCCCAAAATTCATATGTTGAAGTCCTAATCCCCATTACCTCAGAATCTACTTTATTTGGAGATAGGGTCTTTATAGAGGTAGTCAAGTTAAGGTAAGGTCATTAAAGTGGGCCCTAAAATCTAATATGACTGGTGTCCTTATAAAAAAGAGGAAATTTGGGCACAGAGACATATACAGAGGGAAGATCATGTAAAGGGACATAGAGAGACGATGCCATCTAAAAGACAAGGAGGGAGGCCTGAAACGGATCCTTCCCCTACAGCCCTCAGAAGAAACCAACCCTGCCCACACCTTGATCTTGGACTTCTAGCCTCCAGAACTGTGAGACAACAAATTTCCGTTGTTTAAGCCACTCAGTTTGTGGTATTTTGTTATAGCATTCTTAGCAAACTAACATACAAAGATTATGTGTCATTTTAATGTTTTCCTTTATACTTTTCCATAGTTTCACATTTTCTAATGCATTATTTTATACAATAAAAAAATGTCACTTTTTAAGAAAGTGAAAATTAAAACTAATAAAATACCCTCCTGTTTATAAGGGAATAATAGTGGAAGTACAAGGTAAAATGGGCATTCTCACCTCCTGTGAATAGAAAAAGTCTGGAAAACAATTTAACAATATATACATACAGGCTTAAAGATGTTCCGATCATTACTTAAACTTCTAGAAATTCTTTCTAAATAAATAATCCTAAATATGAGAAATGAACCATAAACCATGATATTCATCATTATAAACTGTTATGAATAATCATTTTAAAATATCTTTAAAAGAATTTTTAAAACTACCTTACATGTCCAAGAATAGGGAAAAAGCAATAAAATAAATTATTACTTATTCACTTGAAACACTACAGTCATTAAACACTATATTTGAAGGGCTGGCCGAGTGGCTCAGTTGGTTAAGAGTGCGAGCTCTGAGCAACAGGGTCGCCAGTTCGATTCCCACATGAGCCAGTGAGCTGCGCCCAAGCTGAGCTGCCACTGAGCTGCCAGCAGGTGGCAGGATGGCTCAGCTGGTGAGAGCATGTGCTCCTAAGAAACAAGGTTGCTGGTTCAACTCCTGCATGGGATGGTGGACTACACCCACCCGCAACTAAGATTGAACACAGAACCTTGAGCTGAGTGGCTGCGAGATGCCGACAGGTGGCCAGATGGCAATTAGACTTGGAGCTGAGCTAGCTGCGCCCTCCACAACTAAGATTGAAGGACAACAACTTGGTTGTTCCCCTTCCCCAATTCCCCAATAAAATCTTCAAAAAAAAACAAAGCAAAACTATATTTGAAGACCATACAAGTATTTAAATATTTGAAGAATATTTGAGGTAACATGAAAACATGCTCATGTTTTCATACTGTTACTCATAAAACAATAAACAACATAAATTATTTATGAAGGAAGCACTACTATGTAAAAAAATGTATAAACCAAAACAAGAAGACAATGCACTGAAGTGATCATTTTGGGTGGAGAGAAACTAGATAACTTTTCTACTTTCCACTTTTCTATTTTCCAATTTTCTTAGTAGGCATATATTAATTTTATTTAGAAAATACAATTTTTAAAATACCAAACAAGGAACTGTAGAAACTTTAATGCAGCTTTGATAAAAATAGTAACAGTGCTATTTTTTTCATCTTATCTCTCTACAAAAATGATAGCTTTCATTTTTTTGAGCACTGACTACATGCCAAGCATTATGCTAAGCACTTTATACAATCTTATTTAATTCTTAAAATAACCCTGGTACTATAATCTCCATTTTATACACCCAATTGGAAGAGATCAAAGAACTTGCCCAGTTATAAAGTAACCAGTAAAGCCAGCATTCAAACCCAGGACTTTCTGACTTGTAAAGAGGCCTGCTCTTAAACTACAGTAAACTACCTCTCCCACACAACACACATTCTTCTCTAGCTCACAGTATTCTCTTCTAGTTGTGTGAAGCTCACAAAGTAACACCTCCATCAATAAAGGGGACAAGTTCTAATGAACCCACTTTACTGTCAAATACATGTGTAAATGAAAGCCATGAGAGCCAATCCAGAATGGCATAAGAAAGGCAGAGACTCCTTCCTCTTGCCTCTCATTATGTTATTCTTCTTTCCCGTTTCTAACCCATTTTTCATTTATCATATTCCTTCTTTTTTTCTTTCCATCTCTTCTCTATTTTCCTTTTCTATCTTTCTATCTCCCATCTTCTTCTTAATCCTCTCTATCCAGCCTCCTTATCCCTTTCTCTTTTTTTACTCTTTCTGGAAATAACCCCCTATTATCTCCATACTTTTTCACTCTCCCCAGTCCACTGACCTGTTTCCATCCCCTGGGAGAACTGATCGTTCCTACCCTGTATCCCTACAATACCCATATATACTTGTCTATCTGGCACATAGCAAGCACTCACAAGTGACAATTATTATTTTCAATATTATCATCACCATCACACAGATATGTTGTTTTTATCTTCATAAGGTTTTGGAGTATAAGAAATATGCTTTTTCATCCAGCACCTAGCATATTATGGGCACACAATAAATACATCTTCTTTCTTTAGTTTTCCTCTGGGTCCCTTTCCCATCTGTCTCATCTCCTTATACATTTGCATCTCTGTGTAGCTCTGTGCTGTGTCTGTAAACTTTTCCTTTACGCCTCTTTTTTTTTCTGATAGGTCCAGTCACAAAGGAAGCTAGGTTTTTTTATTTTTACCTGCAAAAAAATGTCTTTCAATTCCTGCTCTTTCTTAACACCTACTTGAATTTAGGCACCAACTAAACAGAATATGGGTTAGATGTGTAATCAAACATGCATAAAGTTGGTGGGTTATTTGTCTTATTATCTTATGCCATTCAAAGTGTGTTCCCTACACTTGCCTCATTAAATTAAAAGGTCTTTATTTCCATTGAATGCATTAGCCAAGATATCACATATATTTATGTAAGAAATAATAGGTGGATGGGGAATAATATTTACTCCTTCTTGGTGTTCCTTGGTACTATATGTATCCTCTGTCTGGACACACAGCACTTATATCACATTTTATTATTACTTCCCTAATTATCTACTTTCCTAATAGACTGTAAATTCTGTAAGGGTAACAATGTCTAACTTACTACCATAACCCCCAATGCTTATTAAGTACCTACTTCGTAATGGGCCCTAAATAAATATATGTGGAATAAATGAACAAAGCCTTTATTACCAAAAGCTAACAGCCTAATTTTCCCAAAATGACATACCTATATAAATTTAGTTCTTTATTGAGATGACTCAAATCATTTTTTGAATGATGCAGAAGTATAAATAAGTGAAATAGTTCTTAATTATGTAAAATTAAAGTTATTGCATAATTAACTCGCATTGTATAATAATAACTATTCAGCTCTTTTTCATGGCAGCTTGGAGGTGGTCAGCTGCTTCCAATGAAGTTGCACATCTCCTTCCCAGCCACTGGCTGCTAGAAATTCACTGAAGTGGACGATGAACACAAATTCTTTTTTTTTTTTTTTGAAAAATGTATGGCCACTGAAGTTGTTGCTGATGCTCTGGGTGAAAAATGGAAGGATAATGTGGCCAAATCAATGGTAGGAACAACAAAATAGATTTCCCCATGAAGCAAAGTGTCTTGACCAATGGTCGTGTCTACCTGTTACTGAGTGAGGGGCATTCCTATCATATACCGAGAGAAATGGAGAAAGCACAAATCCATTCAGTGTTGCTTTGTAGATGCCAATGAGCATTCACAACTTGTTTACTGTTAAAAAAAAAAGTGGGGTGATGTTCCTGAACTAACTGATACTACTTGTGCCTCAGTACTTGGGGCCCAAAAAAGCCAGCAGAATCTACAAACTTTTCAATCACTCTAAAGAGGACGATGTCCACCAGTATGTTGTCAGAAAGGCCCTGAACAAAGAAGGTACAAAACCAAAAACTAAAGTCCCCAAATTCAGCATCTTGTTGCTCCACATGTCCCACAACACAAATATTGGCTATTGCTCAGAAAAAAACAGCATATTAAAAAAATTAATAAAGAGGCTACAGAATGGGCTAAACTTTTGGCCAAGAGAATGAAGGAAGACAAAGAAAAACACTAGGGACAGATTGTCAAGAGATGAAGGCTATCCTCTCTGAGAGCTCCTACCTCTAAATCTGAGTCAGTGAAAAATAAGATTTTCTAGAAACTGCAGTCAAGATGGTGGACTAGGTAAATGCTGTGCTCACCGCCTCCCATGACCACCTCAAAATTACAACTAAAACAAAATAATCATCACTGAGAATTGCCTCAAGTCTAGTTGAACAGAAGTCCTATAACTAAGGATATACAGAGAAGCTACCTTGAGACTGTAAGAGGGGCCGACACACAAAATGTGCTGGTCCCACACCCAAGTGTGGCAGTTACACATAGGGAGGGATATTTTGACTACAGAGGTGCCCCTTGAGGAGTAAGTGGTCCCAGTCCCACACCAGGATCCCCAGACCAGGATTCCTCTGCTAGGAAAAGATATCCCCAAAACTTCTGGCTGTGAAAACCAGTAGAGATTGTGACTGTGTGAGACAGAGGGCAGCTGGAGTCCCAGGTG